TTAAAAGTGATTACTACCTAGGCTAGGTTGTTTCATCACTCTTTATCACAGAATGATGCTTCAGTGTGGGAGAGTGAGAACTTAACAATCTGCAACACAATACATATGAACCTTGTTAATTTGGCCTCCATTTCACAAATGTTACCACAGTTCATTCACACACATATATATCCACACCATCTTTTATTCAATAACTTAACCACGTGAGTGAATTCATAGGGAACTTGAAGGTTTATCGTGTCTTGAATACTTGAACAATTGTAGCTAGTAAGTCCCAGATCACAAAGATCAAAATATCAACATCTTCCCCTCCCCCCACCCCCATTATGCTTCACCGAGAGGCACAAATTAACAAGATCTTACAGTGTAACCCTGTTTTATTGGAATGATAAGTCAGCAGCAACAGTAAAATTAATGTACATATATTTTGTACAAGAGTCCTAAGGAATATCAACAAATAGTGACTTAGCTAGTCATGTATTACCCTGAAAAATCTCACCTACTACAACAGTATACCAACTATGGATTTACTAACACGTTTTGGAAGGGTGTATCTAAGGAAAGCAAATATTTTTCTTTATGAATAATTATAACAATAATAACAATAATAATATGCCGGTAAACACATACATGGAACAATACAAAAATTATATTTTGATGTTTTCATGAAAAATTATGATTTCCTTAGTTTTCAATACTTACAGTGGACCCTTCCAACAATGCTTGAATTTATTTAATATTTTGAGCAAATAAGTCTTCTTTATCAAGATGGCATAATAAGCCTTCAGGTTAGAAGCAAGCAAAAGAACTGAAGATTACTGAAAAATGTCAGTTTTTATGTATCATATACAAAAATTAGGATTATTTATCTATATAAAGCACACTAATGCAGCTTAAAAATATAATCTTTGGGGGGGGGGCAGTCAATGTCAGGCTGTACTTCTTAACACTGCCACATCACAATATGATCCATCTATGTTACCAATTCAGCCTCTTCCAAAGGCATTTAAACTAGGAAAGACAAACTATGATATGTAAAAATTAAATTCATGATCTACAAAGCTAAGGTACATGTGTAAAACAGTTTTTGTTCTCATGCAGACAATAAACCCACAACAGCTCGCTTGAATTAACCATTATGGCTGAAAAGTTTTCTTGGGGGGAGGAGATGGTAATTCCTTATTATTTATAAATTATATTAATATTTTAATATTTTTATGACGAATAAAGGACTTACATCTGGAATAATTTTCAAACATTCTAGAAAAAAATTAATTCCATTTAGTTATTTTGTAATTTATTTTTGTCAAAATGATTGATTGCCTCTGCTGCATTTGTCTATCCTCTTGTCTGTTCATTTGATTTTTACCTTTTGTTTGTCTTCTCAGTTTCCTGTTTTTTTTTCATGCATACACATTCACAATGGGAGGAGGAGGAAATGGAAATAAGTCCCCATGAAGATTTACTAGTTGTCATAAGATCTTAATGAAACTAGAAAAAGAAAGAGACATTGAGGTAGTTCTAACACGGATTATTCTCAACATATGTCAAACCTTAGCTGGAATATGCAGCTGTAGCATTGTATGTGTTCCTTAGCAAACATGTTGTTCAACTAGAAAAGTCCAAAAAAACATGCAAACAAAATAGTCTAGACCAAAGAATATAGGCCTTGAGGAAAGACTAAAAAGGTTTAGGAATTGCCTAAATCAGAAGATAAGAAAAAATTAGATGTGATAACTGCAAATAACTTTGAAAAGTATGTGAGAAAATAGACTGGAATGAGTTTTTGAAGTTGGAAACTAGTAGAACAAAAGAGCATTACTGCAAAAGACTCGAGAGGAGGCAATGTATGGTAAAGATGAAGTACCAGGAACACGGTTCTTATGCTTGTACTAACAAATCAGTAATACTTTAGTGAGCGCCACAATTTCAAAATACTGAAAATAATAATAATAATAAAAAAGACGACAGCAAGCACTACACTTATTTACAAATACTGGCAAAGTGGTGGAATGGGCTCCGAGAGGAGGTAGTAATGTGTGGACCAAAACCACTGGGAATTTAACAAGTGTTTAAAATCATTTATATATATAAATATGATGGGACACCACAAGCATAGCTTTGCTCCTGCCACCACAAACAGGTACACAGGAGCTGGAGCTCATTCCCCGCAGCACAATTGAAAGCAATCGAGTATACTATACACAGTATGATGTACAAAATTTGCCTTAAGCAAGCTTGTTGTGAGTTTACACAGTTGAGCTCATCTCCAAAATACTGACCGGTCACCAGTGAATAACTGATCCACTTTACTAATTTTTCCATATATGTATAATTTGAAAAAATAAAAATCAAGATTTAAAGTTTTCACGAGGGACAGACTTCACTGGTGACGATGGTACAGTGCTGTACCCATCACCATATGCTGACAGAGCAGCATAAAAAAGTTCAGCCTTGAATGCCTTTGATTACTCAAACTCTGAACTAACAGAGCAACAAAGAGCCATGTTAACTTTCATTATTTGTTCTTATTGCCATTGTTCCAGGAGAGAGAATTATCCCAGCTGTTATTCCTTTCATTAAACCAGTCTTCATATATATATATTTATGCCATTTTTGTGACTTTTTAATCGAATCCTATGCCTTTATGAGCTTTTGTTAATTATAATGTACTTGGTACATGCAAGAAATAAAATTTGATCCTGTAAAAGCATGGATCACACTTATTTGCTCTTTGTTTTTTTTTATTGAGAAACCTATTTTTTGTTGGTGTCAAAAACCATTAACCTGAGTCTACTGACATTCTAACATTAATTTTGGTTTATCCATCAGTAAAACCTAATTACCTACACGGAGCCGGAGGGCAGAGAAAACATTATCCTGTTGTTTTTCAATAAATGTGAAGTTCCTTTGAGGAATGAATAAGGCTTTGATTTTATTTTAAATATCAATGCCATTATTAGTCTTTATTTATCAAACATGTTTGACACTCCGTGTTCATGAAGCATTTTCTTAGTGCTAACGAAGTGTTATGTAAAAGTGAATGGCTATAAAAGCTCCTTAATGTGACTATCATAAGTACTGTACTGGTTTAGCACCAAAGGGAAAACAATAAAATGCTGCAGTGGAAGCATAATACAGCCTTTGATGGGATCAAAGAGCCGCAAGCTCGACCCCTGCAAGCACTAGGTGAGTACAGCCTGTATAACAACAGATAGATGCCAAGGAAGATCCCGAACGTTAATCAACAGAGCCACACTAAGGACCAATCAAATGTCTCTCTGCCCACCTTCTCCAATGGCCCATGCAAGGCTCTTCTCTTCACACAAGTTAGAAGAGAAGGAAGGAGACGCGTGTGCGGCGTGCATCTCCTTTGCCTCGTCGGGCCATCCCAAATTGTCACATGTTGCCCTCCGAGCCTGTTCCTCCACCCGTAGCGGAGTTGTTACCTGAACCAGACACATCTTCGCCATCTGTTCGGTACGGTGAGTTTCCTCTTCCTCTTGGGCTTAGGCCTCGGAAATCCAAGTTGTACTGTGGAGAGGGTAAATAATGTCAATGACATATGACAGGATTTATGACATTTGAGTTTCTTCAAAATTTCTTATCTTTAAATTTATCTATTTGACATTACAGGGCATCAAATAAGATATTAAACTGGTTTGTATTACATATACTAAATTCATAGAAAATATGATACGTTATAATAATATTCTGTATAATTAAATAAAACTATACTTTCAGATTTTATATATAAAATAATACGAATAATAATTGGTCAGATATTTTATATAAATTTACAAAACTACAACTTCATACAACTAAATATGGAGCAAAATTTTATATTGTTTAAAACATGTATATATATTAAAATATTACCAACTATAGTTAATGAAGTAAATTGCATTAAATGTTATCACTTAGTGGAGAAATATGCATACCTGTAAGGGTTAATATTAAGGCAGGCTTCCTATAGTGTAAATGATTTATGCATCACAATATCATACTTATACGCCAACACATATTAATGTATTACTTCATTGAGGGGGAAAATAAAGCACCCTTGGAGTCTCTAGTTGATCTGCAGACTTTTTAGTTGCAGCGGTAATCTTCCCCAGCGTGGAGACACGCTCACTGCATCACTATCACCACACACAGACTGTAACAAAACACTGGAGCATGCATTTCTAAAACGTGGAACATGCCAACATATACAGTACTTTTTTTTTATAAATTTAATGCAGGCGGCATGCAAAAAACATAAGGAAAATAGCATAACAATTCCAAGACGTATTATGCTGGTTTTTTTTATTTTTAGTTCATAATATTAGAAAATATAACAAAGGGAATTTGTTAGCTAGTTTGCTTATTTAATGTTTTATTTTCATTTTTCTATCTATTTATGTATACATATTCGTTGAAAACAAAAAACAAAGGGACAATCATTTTACTCTAATGATAACTCATTTAGTGACATCCAAGAAACTAATTCTTTTTGAAGCACTTTACAAAAAAAAAAAATATTTATGACATGTTGGATGTTGTAAATGACGAAACAACTATATAATCATTTACCAGCGAGTCCTCCATGCCTCTGTCTGTTGCACAAAAGAGGGGCATTCACTTTCTGCTTGTACTAACAGGAAAGAAGATATAAAAAGGGAAATTAATAAAGATTAATCCCAAGTTAATGAAGTTATTAAAGTTGGTTAAACAGAAGCTGTATTAAATAAATAAAAAAGTTCCAGCTAATGAAATTATTGAAAGTTTTAACAGCAAATGAAAATAATATTTTGATTGTATAATGCAAACCAACATCATAGGTCCAGGTTAACACACAGAAATATCAACACTTACGAAGGGTACTGTTGAAGACTGCGCTCATGCTCAGTGAAGGGGGAACATTGTATTTAATAAACCGAGTATATCAGAATATTGTATACTCTTCAGGACGAGGGCTTGGAATTTATTGAAACAAACAAAAAAGTAAAACTAACAGAAAAGATTGCTCTGATATTTTATTTCTTTTAAAGTGGGACAAGTGTAAGGACAATTGTCATCATTATAAGTGATCAAGTTATTATTGTTGTGCTTCAAGTGATAAAGACAAGACAGGTATAAAAATAAATCTGACTCACATAACAAATGCAAACAAGCTACCTAGTATCAGACTCCATCGTGAATTATTTGTTACAAAGAGAGCATTATTCTATCCGGGGATTATCATCCAAAACTAATATTTTAATGTTATACTGTAATATGATTATGGGAAAACTAGTTTCCCCCTTGTAACATTTCTACCTACGTCCCTAGAATCCAATACCCTATCCAGACAATATCAACATGACTATGAGGGTACTGCTTATATGCCAAATACCACTTGCTGGAAATTGCTAATCCTAATAAGCCTGGAAAAATCACAACTACTGGCTTTGAATGTGCGATGAGGTAGAAATATATTATGATATTGTCTCTGTGGTAAATGTAGCACTTGATGCTTAAAGAATGATTTGTTAGTACTGTATAATGAATTTGGTGTTTGAATGGGTTAAACAAAAAATAGGTTGCCAATTTGTGTTACAATTGTAGATTCATATTTAATTGTCCCAATAATAGAAATTAAATTAAGCAGTCCTGTATTTTTTGTTGTCTATTCATATACATTTTGATTTAGAATAGGATACTGATTATGAAATCTTACAGAATTATGATGTTTACCAAGATGAAGTCTGCCGAGAGCATTACTGCTCTGATAATAATCTTGACAATTACTACTAACACTTTTTAAATTGGGAACAGGATATGAGGAGTCCCACTGGTTATAAACAGGATTATTTGACTCTGCATAACTGACAGGAATTGATTGCAGTACTGGGGATTGTCGAGACTGCAGAGCAGAGTGATGGAGATTCAGGTACTGAAGTGTTGGGGACGTATATGGAGAAGAGGGTAGAGATAAATATTTTATCCAGTCAGTAGTGTTTGGGCTGACTGATGGAGAAAGAGAAGACGATAGAGGTGACAATGGTGACACAAATGGGTATGGTGTGGAGGGGCTAATCTGTTGGTGGAGTGCTGTTATTGGTGACAGCTGGGGATGAAAGGATGGTGCAGCAGTTGAGAGCTGCGTCAAGTGTTCAGGTGATGAAAGAGAGGGTGGGTGATGCATGTGTGTAACAGTGGCATTCATCACTGAAGAATGTGATGGCGGTAGGGTCGACATTAGAGTAGGATGTATTGGCGAAATTGGTAACACCGGAGGATGTGGCGTTGAAGGTACCTGGCCAATAGTGTTGCCCTGACTCGATGCTCGAACTTCATCCAATGTTGGGAGTTCCAGTCGCTCAGGGAGACGCAGCTCATACTTGGGGGGCGCAACCAAACATGACAACCAAACAAAATTAAATTAGAAATATGAAAATAGAATTTGGCAATTCAGGCGTGGCCGAGCAGTCATAGCTAGGGCTCTGGAACAACTAAGGATGTTAGGTAAACTTTCCTTGGAGTCAGGCATTTTTCTAACTTATAATGAGCTAAATCATATAGAATCCGAGACTATTTCAAGGCTTATTGTACATTTATTATGACTTAAAGTCTTTCATTCAAGTTTTATAATTAAATAACTAGCCCAACCTATACATTTGCATTGAACAGAAAATGAGAATTTGTAATGTGTCTATTATATAATATAATATATAATATATATATATATATATATATATATATATATATATATATATATATATATATATATATATATATATATATATATATATATATATATAATATTAGATACCATTAGATATAATATATATTATAACACATTGTATTGCACTGAGTGAGAATAACTTCAGCTATCTCATCCCTTTGTGTGTATTTATACCTCAATAAACCTTATTGAATTTGAAAAACGAGAAGAATCTATCAGTCTGCGAGTCTTATCGTGTTGGGTTACGTTATTATAACATTTTCTGCATATTTTATCTCAATAAGCCTCGACAAAAACATAAAATGCTTGCAACTATAAAAGGTTGTATCATACACATTTTGTGTAATAAAATGAGCAGTGGTAATATGAGCAGTCATAAATATCTATATCCATGCTGACTGACATAGAATTTCAAGCAATCATAAGAATATGGGACAAAAAAAGTGAATTCTGCAGGCCACAGAGACATGTACTCAGTGAGTAACTCATTACTGAATTGAGGTTACCAAGACATACCAACTGCACTCATACTGAACAGTGTAGATGAACTAGCATATGGAAAGGACATACAAAATGTATTAATTACAATCATACTGTATATTGACTTCTATAGTGACGTGTGCAAATGTGTGTGTGTGTGTGTGTGTTGCAAATTATTAAATTGCATCCTTATCATCCCGAACCGTCTCGCTCAACCGCACCTTAACGTTTGGTACGATCCAGCGTGTCCAAAGTATTTTTTTTTTTTTTTTTTTTTTGAGATATATACAAGAGTTGTTACATTCTTGTACAGCCACTAGTACGCGTAGCGTTTCGGGCAGGTCCCTGGAATACGATCCCCTGCCGCGAAGAATCGTTTAACTACTGATCGTACATGTCCTACTGATCCTTTCCTGGACATTGCAGGTGACCGACCCCTGACATGTAAACAGTTGACCATCTTGAATACTTTCACCATCACTAGGCGGAAATACCTCTCGCACACAGCTGACCGTCCTCACCACACAATCTCCTAGCATTCATTCTGACCAGCGTAATAGACAATGTAGTCGGATTACAACCGAAATGTCCCGGGTTCGATTCCCGCTGTATAGCAAAGACGTTTGGGCACGCTTCATTTCACTTTATGCCTCTATTCACCTAGAAGCAAATAGATACATGAGACTTCGTTAATTATTGTGGTTTGCATCCTGGAGACGTTTAATAGATCCTCGATAATTCTACCATACTTCCTGTTATCAGTGGAGGGGAGCAATAATACTTAGCAGACAGGGATTGATTTTTCAGTCACGTTTGATATTGTATCATTGTTGACCAGACCACACACTAGAAAATGAAGGGACGACGACATTCTCAAGTCGATAGAGAATGGTCTAGGACGGACCGAAACGTTGTCGTCCCTTCATTTTCTAGTGTGTGGTCTGGTCAACATATTTCATCCACGTTATTGTGACTCATCATCGGCATTGTATCATTGTTTTGGATGTTATGTGCACATGGCTTAGCTTATAAGTGCATCATTATAAAAAGAAGTCATCAAGCCCGGGAGAGACTGTTAGCACCCTCAGTGTCGCTGGATATGCAAAAGAATGCCGATACAAGGACCAAAAAGCACACAAGGCGAACAATATCGAAAGTATTGGATTCAGCAAGGATTCTACCGAAGGTTAAACTACCCCCGAGGGAACATTGGGAAAGCAAGTAATTATCGAAAGAAGACACCAAGCCAGATGAAATTTGTAGCACCATCAAAGTTGAGGACCTAGTGATTGAGGTGGTTATAGACAGGAGCTGCCTCGTATGGGCCAATATGCCTTCTGCAGTTGCCTTTGTTTTTATGTTCTTAAGTTGCAGGGTATTCAAAAGGTACTAAACATCACTAAGGATAAACAAATCACCAAGGATCACTAAGGATGCCAAAGCGAGAACAAAAGCGCACAAGGCGAGTGATATCAAAGATATCTGATTCACCAGAGTTTCTATCGAGGGACATTAGGAAAACAAGACAGATGGTTATCAAGTGCTGCTGGGAGGTAATAAACCCAATAGTTAAAGAGTGTCTTATCTGTGGCACAGAAGCAGAGGCGCCACTATTGCACTACTTACTGGAATCTGAAGCTACTGAAGCGCATCAAACTCAACATTAATCCAACGACAGCAGCAACATTAGATCCACATTCCACAGCCACTACAATGATTAGAAAAGCCGTTGAAGAATGGGACTCACTAGTGAACATTCTGCACCTACATCCACCACCAAGATAATGTTATTAAAACAAGACTAAAACTAGTGCACTAAAACAGAAACGAAAAGGAAAAAGGGAAAAAAGGAGGAAACCATTTAAAACTCTGACCCAAATATCAGAGTAACAAAGTTATCGTGTATAACCAAATTCAATTATGGGTTCACCATAGCCCGTGCTACATGGACATTTCGTTCCGAGTAGCTAAATCTAAAACAACAACAACAACATGGTCATCGAGAAAACCGGAACATTCTACAAGGAGGGAATTATCAGGGGAAAACGCCAAACCATTAAGACTATATAGCACTGGGTGGGGAGCAGGATAAATATTAGGGATGGGACGGGGGGAAGGAATGGTGCCCAACCACTTTGACAGTCGGGGGATTGAACGCCGACCTGAATGAAGCGAGATCACCCAGCCCAAGTGGTTGGGCAGGCAGATGGATAGGTTGGAAAGAGTTGCGTGAAGGGTGAAAAAGATTCCAGCCCCGCAAGATTAAACTGCCTCTGAGTGAAAGAAAGAAGAGGGCAGAAAGAAGAAAGGTTTACTAGGAGGAAAAAATGGTCACTTACGGAGGTCATCGAGGACCTTCGATGGTCACTGTTACGGAGGTCATCGAGGACCTTCGATGGTCACTGTTATGGAGGTCATCGAGGACCTTCGATGGTCACTTATGGAGGTCATCGAGGACCTTCGATGGTCACTGTTACGGAGGTCATCGAGGACCTTCGATGGTCACTGTTATGGAGGTCATCGAGGACCTTCGATGGTCACTTATGGAGGTCATCGAGGACCTTCGATGGTCACTTATGGAGGTCATTGAGGACCTTCGATGGTCACTGTTATGGAGGTCATCGAGGACCTTCGATGGTCACTTATGGAGGTCATTGAGGACCTTCGATGGTCACTGTTATGGAGGTCATCGAGGACCTTCGATGGTCACTGTTATGGAGGTCATCGAGGACCTTCGATGGTCACTGTTACGGAGGTCATCGAGGACCTTCGATGGTCACTGTTACGGAGGTCATCGAGGACCTTCGATGGTCACTGTTACGGAGGTCATCGAGGACCTTCGATGGTCACTTATGGAGGTCATTGAGGACCTTCGATGGTCACTGTTATGGAGGTCATTGAGGGAAGGAGAAGCAGAGAAAGATCAATACAAGAAAAAGGTGCGAGTACACAAGTGATCCTAAGTCAGCTTGCCGGAATTCAGCAGACAATGGAGAAGAGTTCAAATTTCCAACACATATTGCAGAGGTGGGAAGAAGGGATGTACTCCTGAACAGAACATCTGGCACCAGCAAGAATAATAGAAGGCACAAGGGGTCCTGCCATTAAAAAAGAGATCTTAACAATACAAGAAGATTGATAGCAACGATCACAAGGGGGACGAGTGAAGGAGTCAATCTAGGGGATAGAAATGTCCTGGGTCTTGAGGATATCATTTAATATCCTCATGGTAGTCTTGGGGGGTCTATCTCCAGTTGCAGCATAGTGTGGGAGAACCACAATGCCAACGTTGTTCTCTCACCAATGCAGGACAAAGGAGCTAGGTGGACAGGCGCCTCATGAGATGGGTCAGCACGTTAGAAACTGTGGGACTTATCACACATGTGAAAAGCCCGGGTAGCGAGAGGTAAAAGTGACCTGGGAATCGACAGATTCAACCAAATGCTCATGGTGATGGCGCTGGGAACCTCCAAGAAGGAGGGCAGGGATGGTAAACAAAGCAGTTGTCAAAATGGAAGACTGAGCCACGCCAGGGAACGAGGTAGTCACCACTAGGGGCTTAGGGGTCAACCCAGCCACAGAAGCGAGAGGAAGAGTTAGTGCCTTGAAAAAAAAATATAACTTGGAATATACCACATGTGTACTTATTCATAAGCCAAAAATTGACTATAAGCAGTAAGTCATATATGTGCTGTCGTGTGCGAGAGCGGGTTGCTTTTTATATAACTCTGTTCTAGTTTTATAATACAAATTATACTTTCTGAAATGAGCTAAATGATGAAACCAATACCTAATTAAATATAAAATTATGGACTGAAAACCAAAAAATAATATATTAAAGAAGAATTCGCCATCTGCTTAGATTAGGCAAATATTTAATAGAATTACAATAAATGTTCAACTTTCTAACTGCTACTGTTATTTACAACGCTAAAACCACACAAAAAAATCTGCATATATTTGAACCCTTTGTCAGCACCAAGAAGCATGTGCTACTGATATGAGCAAGTCTTGTTCTATTGCATATTAAAGAACATCTTCAATTGCATGGTAAGAGTACATATTCTACTGCATATATAAGGCAAATCATCTTCTGTTTCAAGAAGCAGAAGGGCAAGCAGAAGGGCAAGTCTTCTTCTGTTTCAAGAAGCCCAGAGGTTCTTTTAATTCGTCTATAGATCCCGAGGAATGTATATGCTTGAAAGTTCCGTAAAAAAGAAGGCTTGTGGACCCAGGATGCAAACCCTTTGCCATTACCAACAGTGCCATATAATTCAGTCTAATTTACAGTCTCCGTGGTGTAGTGTTAATTAAGACACTCGCCTGGCGTTCCGCGAGCGCTTTGTCATGGGTTCGTATCCTGGCCGGGGAGGATTTACTGGGCGCAAATCCTTAACTGTAGCCTCTGTTTAACTCAACAGTAAAATGAGTACTTGGTTGTAAAAACGATTCTTCGCGGCGGGGATCGTATTGCAGGGACCTGCCCGAAACGCTACGCGTACTAGTGGCTGTACAAGAATGTAACAACTCTTGTATATATCTCAAGAAATGGATCACTGAGACACTCATCAATCACTCCATGGCCTCATGCACCAAGCAAAATATTCTATAAAGTCAGCACTTACTCTTGGCCTCTACAATCTAGGTACCACCAAAAGAAAGTATTATGTCTATTGAAAATTTTAACCAAAAGGTAAAATAACCAGCACATGGGGAAAAAATAGAAAAAAAAATTGTTGTACTGTTAACCACCTTATATACACTTATTGATCAAAATTATACTTTAAAATACATAGACATATTTGAACAGTATGATAAAGGACGTAGCATACAAAAATCGACAAAAATTGCGAACACTTTTTTTCCATTTCTACTGGTGGTCCTCAGTAATGTAGGTCTTGGATTTGACTGTAAATTGTAGAGCGTTTTACATTCATACAAAAAAAAAATAAATAAATATATATATATGCTGTATACACCATTACCTCAGATTAGCACAGGTTTTAGCATTTGGAAGACAACATTAACGTGTGACATCTATCTATTAGAAAAAATTCTTCGCATGTTGTCACAGCATATCTAACGACCACCACATGCATCACTTGTGTATGCTGTTCCTAAATTGAAATATCATTTGGATAACTGTATATATATATAAAGGTTTTCTAATCATGATAAAGGTGCAGATAATTTTTTTTTTATATATCATGCAGGTTAGGAATTTTTACTGATGAGAATTTTGAGCATAAGGTAAAAATTACTTTCCTGTATCCTGCTTTTCAGGTCATACCTTCATGCACTTAGGAAAATGAATTACCTTATATATTGCACTGCGAGGACAAACAAATTTGTATATCGCAGTGGCTTCTCTGAGCAGTGCTGTAAAAGGACATATTAGTAGGGAATAGGTCAATAGAAACTCTAGGCTGGAGGTCTCTTCCTCCCCATGTGTGTGTGTGTGTGTGTGTGTGTGTGTGTGTGTGTGTGTGTGTGTGTGTGTGTGTGTGTGTGTGTGTGTGTGTGTGTGTGTGTGTGTGTGTGTGTGTGTTTGCTCATCAAGTTATAAAGTTCTGGGTTCCCACACTCACCTTTGTAGCGCAGACGAAACAAGTTGTGACCACCTTTGATATGACATTCATTAAATTTTTGGTTTCCTGTATAACATTGTCGACTTTAGTAAAGGTGGCTGCCTTGCCGACTGTCGGGTTTTTAACTGTAAATTGTAACTGTTGAACGTAAGTTGGAATTTGGTCCAAGTGCTCCATTAGCTCCTTTTTATGGGGCCCTGCCGGAACCTGTAAATATTATACATTATGTAAGATCCATTCAATTTGAAGAATATGTTACATGACACAGGCATTGCATAGAAATTTAATTGGCACATAAAATCTGTCCTGATTGCATAAATGAATATAACAAAGTAAATTATAACAGGTTTCCACAGCAATAAGATAACAAGTCATGATATTCAATCTTATTTACTTGAAAAAATATATCATCTTTAAATGAGGCCTTTGATTTTTATGATTATTTTTAATATATTTATGGCGAGTTTTTAACACTAGTGCGAGTTTTTATCGTGTTGCCTGGCTTAGTCCTATAGTAGCGAACCACGACCCGGTAGTGGGTTGTGACCCAGAGCCCGAAGAACACCTCTGTATATAAACACACAGACTTCGCAAGACGATACTATCCAAGACAAAGAAAGTCAACAGAAGGCACAGAGAATATGCACCATCAGGTCTAGGAACTAGACCCAATGGTGGGTTTCTTCAGAGAGACCCACTTGGGAGCAAAATTCGATCCTAACACCAGGGATGAAGATTGAGGCGGCAAAGTGCCTCAGTCACCCCCATTAGAAGACCAGCCCGTCCTCCAAAACAAAGACCCAAAAGTGATTCCATGCACCCGCCAAACCACCTGTTTATGACTGAAAAGCATCTTGCACAGGACTCATAATTGATGATGTTTGAACACTTCTGGAACAAGGGCTTCGCTGACGAATTCTGTTCAAATCATAACGCTGTAAATGCTTCACCCACGTACTACAAATACAAATAATCGTCAACAGAACCTAAACACCTAACCTATGCCTATATATGCATAATGTTATAATAGTAATTTATATTTGAGAAAATTCCTATTTTGAATGAACAGCATGTTCATTCAAAAGGGCGCAAATCCTTAACTGTAGCCTATGTTTAACTCAACAGTAAAATCTGTACTTGGTTGTAAAAAAAGATTCTTCGCGGCGGGGATCGTATTCCAGGGACCTGCCCGAAACGCTACGCGTACTAGTGGCTGTACAAGAATGTAACAACTCTTGTATATATCTCAAAAACAAAAAACCTACCAAAGGACCCAAAACAGAAAACGGAACAGTATTTCAATTTCACGAACCGCTATCATTTTCTAGTACGACGATTTTTGGCCTGAGGTAAAGAGTCAAAAAACTACGCTCTATTAGGAGGACGAGCTGGGAACCCTCCTCAAGGTTGACCACGGACAACACAACCCAGGACAGTGAAGAGGCAAGTCCTGTTGGTCCAAGTCCTGTCCTGACGGGACAGGACTTGTTCTGTTCTGATTTAAGGCAGAATCTGTTCTGCCTTAAATCTGGTCGATTTAACCCAGATCTTTCTTTGACAAAAACGCAGTTTCCGCTCTGAAATATTGTTTAAAAAATAGATTTAAAAATGACACCCAAGACTGTAGGCGCACAAGAAAGCAAAGTAACAAATATCTCCCTGGTGTGGAACCACTCGGGCTGGACGGTAGAGTGATGGTCTCGCCTCATGCAGGTCGGCGTTCAATCCCTGACCGTCCAAGTGTTTGGGCACCATTCCTTCCCCTCGTCCCATCCCAAATCCTAATCCTAATCCTTTCCCAGTGCTATATACACTTGTAACGGCTTGGCACTTTCCCCCTGATAGTTCCCTCCCTTCCCTGGAGCCAGATTCACGAAGCAGTTACGCAAGCACTTACGAACCTGTACATCTTTTCTCAATCTTTGGCGGCTTTGTTTACAATTATTAAACAGTTAATGAGCTCCGAAGCACCAGGAGGCTGTTTATAACAGTAACAACAGTTGATTGGCAAGTTGTCATGCTTGTAAACTGTTTAATAAATGTAACCAAAGGCGTCAAAGATTTAGGAAAGATGTACAGGTTCGTAAGTGCTTGCGTAACTGCTTCGTGAATCTGGCCCCTGGTGTGGATGCTTGGCATTTTACCAGAAATAAAAACTTAAGAGGAGACAACTCGTGATCTATAATGAAAGATAAATTGCTTACCTGATAAGAAAACTGTCTGACAACTTTGTATAATCTGTTGGCTTCTTCTGCAAAATATTCCCCCTGTGTGAACAGGTCCTGTGTAGTCTTGAGGGCTCCCTCGCCTCGCGTGAACTGATACATTGAGAAGGCCATTGAAGACATATTTTTGGCACGCTTTACAATATCATTGTCTTCATCTTGAGTGATGCGCTCCTCCCACTTCTCGGTTTCTTGGTCCACCTAACACGAGATAATACACAGCTCAAGATTGATAAGCAAATGCTGAAAAAGTTTCAAAATTATTCTGCACTTGAATTCCAAATAAATAATTCCGAATTTACTTTTAAATTTATCTTCCAGTTTAAAAGTTATATATTGTTCTATGTATAAAAGTAAGTTAAAGGCATCAACTTACTTCTGATGATATAAGTTTCATATCCAAGCCCGACTTGGCTAGTTTAGCCTGCTCCTCTTGGTCCAATTTGGTGGGTTTCGGCGGCTTACTTGTAGTTCCGTGTTTCTGAGGGGAAGTCAGATAACCTGTTTCAGCCTGTTGAACCTGTTGTTAATGGTAGTGTTAGTGCAGTACTTAGACTTTTATGTATGCTTGGAGCCTATAGTTCTTCTGGAGCACAAAACGTGTAGCAGATGTTAGTGAGCACCAACACACTCACCAACACCCACACCCCCCCCCACACACACACACACACACCAACACACACACACACACACACACACACACACACACACACACACACACACACACACACACACACCACACACACACACACACACACACACACACACACACACACACACCAACACACACACAACACACACACCAACACACACACAACACACACACCAACACACACACCAACACACACACCAACACACACACCAACACACACACCAACACACACACCAACACACACACACACACACACACACACACACACACACACACACACACACCAACACACACACCAACACACACACACCAACACACACACCAACACACCAACATCCACATACACCAGCACCCACATCCACACACACTTTGGAATGGAAAGAATAAAACTACGATACCAAATCAGTAAAACTACACGAAACAAATATTCTCACATTAAGACAATCGTTTGTGGAACCAGGAAGATTTTAATAACAGTATTTATGAATTATATATATATAAATTGCATAGATTGAATACAGCTATATCCAAACTGAATGTGTATGTAAAAAATTATATTAAAAAAACAGCGTTGAATGTAATGAAACGCCATTTTCTGGGAGGAGCCCCTTCGGCTTCCCGGAGCTATCCAGGCTGATATGTATATTATTAGACTTTGGCATCAGTGTGAATGGAGTTCTAGGCCTACCAGGGACCACGAGCCAGAACCTGGCCCCCTCAGACAGGCACGAGGAGCAATGGCCTATATTAGTGCACCTGTGTTTGGAGCATTCTATGCAACCCATCGACAGGGCCGGGCACCCAGAAAGGTAAGCGCCTCAAAACAAACCCCCATTCTGGTTAAAACGTCTATAAGAACATAAGAACAAAGATAACTGCAGAAGGCCTATTGGCCCATACGAGGCAGCTCCTATCTATAACCTCCCAATCCCACTCATATACTTGTCCAACCCGCGCTTGAAACAATCGAGGGACCCCACCTCCACCACGTTACGCGGTAATTGGTTCCACAAATCAACAACCCTGTTACCGAACCAGTATTTACCTAAGTCTTTCCTTAATCTAAATCTAAGACTATAGCCTGGATAACTCCGGGGAGCTGAAAAGGCTCCTTCCAGAAAAAAATCAAGTTATTCTTTTAAAACACAAAACCAATTATAATAGTAATTCTGCAATATACATCTTATATGGTGTACTTTAAATGAAAATTTAATATGATGAAAATCTTTTGTCTTATTATTGAGACATTATTAATCTTATTAATGAAAAACTATGAAAAAACTCCGGTTGTAGAGTACAGCCAAGTTTATTTGCATTGTAGCAGTCAGTATTCCAACATTAACAAATCTCTAAACTCTGAAGAAAATACATCTTGCACTAGTATGTCATATTTTCGTTTTATTACCAAATCCTAAATTTATGAACCTAGTCACTTTCGAAACGACCCCCTCTCCCCGAGAAATGAGGCCGTTTAACTCATTCGCTGCCCAGAGACTTCATCTCGGGGGAGTTTTGTGTTTAAGCCGCCAACTCACCCCCGTGTGCATTCGGGGATCTTCGTGATTATATAGAGAGAAACGGATTAATTTTTACTAAAATAACATGAAAATGGTTGCTGGAGTGGAGAATAGTTATGTATTCGATTCAAAAGCAGGCCGAGTCACGTTATATTAAGACCAGCATGTCGTAGCCAATACCTAAATCGGTTAAATTAATGCATTTACCTTACCTTGCAGGCGATGAGTCACAATAACGTGGCTGAAGTATGTTGACCAATCCACACACTAGAAAATGAAGGGACGACGACGTTTCGGTCCGTCCTGGACCGAAATTATTTTCTCTTACGATCCCTTGCTATCCTCTTCATATTCCATTACTATCCCCTTCTTATTGGTTGGTTATAAATAAGAGCTGCCTTGTATGGGACAATAGACCTGCAGTTACCTTTGTTCTTTTTCCTGTTACTATCCTCTCTACTACACCTTACTTTGCATACCTTTTGCCTTGCTCTTCACCTCTCTCTTGCCTATTGATTGCCTTCATCTCCTTCACTCATCACAATCTACACGAGAATGGTCCAGGACGGACCGAAACGTCGCCGTCCCTTCATTTTCTAGTGTGGATTGGTCAATTTACCTTACCTTAGTTTATTAGTATTCTCTGTCACTTTTATCACTGATAAAGGCAGGAAGTGCGAGTATTAGGTACACTAAGAGCTTCTCTGTGGCTACAATGTCTTCAGATATTTTTGATGGACAGAAGAGGACCATTTTGATGTTGCTGTTAAATTTGGACACCGCTGTTAATTTTTTTCTCAGTCCATGTAAAATGTACTTTTTGCCCGCTACCAAAAAGCAGTTTATAGCACGACGGAAATAGTTTCTCCTCAAGGGCAAATGTTGATTGAAAATCAACATTTTCATATCTAAATTTGTAAACATCCCGATTTTCATTAAAGATATCTTTGACTGTGGAAATAGAAGTGTAAAAAACTTTGTTCACTTCACTACATCACATGTTTGAAAAACAGACAAGGGACAGAGAAAAAAAATAAAAAATAAAAATAGCACGTTTGTGAAACAAATCCCTAATTTACACCGTTTACTATTTTATCAGCTTACAAAATCAACTGAAACAATTAAGATTGCACTACAAAAATTGCTGTAACTCTCACCTTCAGTACACGAAGAGATGGGGGTTCCAAGCCCTGTGTCTTTGTTTAGTTCTGCACATTGAAACTTAATGTACCTTAAATCTTGACAAGCTATTAAATAGTAATTGGCAATTATTTTGGGAGAACGGAAAATTTAAGTGCATAATATTCGGTGAATATATCTTCTTTTTTTTAACATGCTGCATAAAAAAAAGTCAACAAAATACAAGAGTTTTAAATGCTAACAGAGCTGTCCTGGTGAGCTCATTCAAAAAAAAAAAAAAGTGCAAGTTTTTTTTTTTTTTTTTTTTTTTTTTGAGATATATACAAGTGTTGTTACATTCTTGTACAGCCACTAGTACGCGTAGCATACTTGTATATTTTTCGTATATGATGCAGCTGCTTCGTAAACAATGCAGCTGTTTTGCCTCACCAGAATCTTAAATAACTAAGCAACGGACCTAACATGCCGAGGCCGATGCTTAGGAAACGTTAATATTACAGTGGTTTATATTTCACTATCCCATCGCATTTTTATCGGATTGAGCGATTTCGTTAAAAATACGACGCATTAAGCTAGAGGACAGGATGTTACCCCCAAACGGGTCTGAGATGTTGAAGATCCTATCTTGAAGTTTGGGTTACCGAAATATAATCTAATTCAACACTGTAGTGTACTGCATACTGTAGTGAACCACATACTGTAGTGAACCACATACTGTAGTGAACCACATACTGTAGTGTACTGCATACTGTAGTGAACCACATACTGTAGTGAACCACATACTGTACTGTACTGCATACTGTAGTGAACCACATACTGTAGTGTACTGCCTACTGTAGTGAACCACATACTGTACTGCATACTGAATGAACTGTATTTATATCAATCATTTCAAGTTTTGAAATGATTGATAATTACAAATTTTTTTGTAATTTGAGACAATTGCTTTAATTAAAAAAAAAATGTAACTTATCGTCAATCTTATTGTTTGACCAATTATGACTTGAAAGGTTCAGTTATCAGACCTATACATCGTATTTTTTACGAATACAAAAAAGCGACGTATTAGTAAAAATTAATGCGTCGCAATACTGACGTTTTTCTACATGCATCAATCTTGATAGGTTAGGCGGGTTGCTTGGCTTCGGACATTTCTGTTTAGCCAAACAGCTGCATTTTTTTATGTTATGGCAAAGCTAGCATCACTTCCATTAGTAACATTAAGAGACGCCTTATGACCTTATTTTGCATTTCTGAATTTGAAGAGGAATTTGCTCTTCTTCAGTCACTCAATTTACAATTTGAACGGTCTTTTTTCTGTAAAATTTTGCCGTGAAAATATATTTACAAAAAGTTATTTTGTCTTTAAGTACAAAGACAGCGATGTGTAAGGTGGGAGACGGAGTCGTTTTACTCATTCGTTGCCCCCAGAGACTTCATCTCTGGGGGAGTCTTGTGCTAAAACCCCCAACTCACCCCCCATGTGTATTCAGGGATCTTCGTGTACATCCCCGTGTGTATTCAGGGATCTTCGTGTACATCCCCATGTGTATTCAGAGATCTTCGTGTACACACCCCATGTGTATTCAGGGATCTTCGTGTACATCCCCATGTGTATTCAGGGATCTTCGTGTACATCCCCATGTGTATTCAGGGATCTTCAGGTGTATTATATATTGAGAGAAACGGTTAAGTGAACTTTACTTTTATTAAAATCACATGAAAATGGTTCCTGGAGTGGAGAAGAGTTATGTATTGGAATCAAAAGCAAATCGTGTAATAGTCCCATTAACTTGGGATTAAGTAGCACAGCACCTTATGGTCTGCAGCCATTGTATTTACAATTATTAGATTTTACAAGGTTTCTCTCGGGCTGTATTTCACACTTCTATAATTAAAGTTTGCCCCTCTGCTGATGATGTATATATATGCATTAAGGTTCTTTGGCCGTGTATAGGACCTATTATATAGGACTGTATCGAAGGTTTCCTGACAATGTAGCATGTAGGCCTCCTATCTTTTCCAGTTTCTTTTCTGATCTCATTCGTATGTGGCACTAATAAGACTGGCAGGCAGTACTTACCTTTTTTTAGACCGTATTGGTGTGTGTTATATCTCTGTTCCGTTATTCCTTGCCCTATTATTTAGGATCATTGCTTTCTTTTCCACGGGATCCTGTAAGGCCCCACAGCTTTTGTTGAACGAAGCTCTGGTATTGCGACTGTACTCGGTTCAATCTCTGGAGTAGTGTTCCATCCCATGTAAAGTTGCCGTAACGACTCTCCTTAAAGGCATTTTTGAACGTTTACTTCAACTCTCCACATAATGTTGAATGAGGAGGAACTAAGTTTTTATTTCTCTTGGTAAGCTTCGTTACACGATTGTTTGATGCAGTTTTCAATGTATTGTCTGATGCACTTCTCATGGTGGGTATGTTTTTTGTTCCTTGTTCTCCTCTTTCTGTTTTCATGCGTCTTAATTATAGGTAATTTGTTGCCCCATATTGTCATTCTCATGGCTTTAATTAACCAACATTGTCCCTTTAACTATGGACTGTTTTCTTGCCTTGGAGCCTTTTCCTTCATGGCTTCTTATCCTTCCATTTTCCTTGCCCTATCTACGTTTCAAATATTCCATTATCGATTATGCTGATTTAACCCTTAGTTCTGGTTACCATACAAGTCTATGTACTCCCACTCTTGTTTGCTCCATTTTAATAATGCAGCAATCTGTTCCAATTTCCTCTTTTAGATTTCCTCTCTAGTGTATGCACATTCATTGAGAGGAAGTGGTTACTGGCATTTGATAATTCATTCTTTTTCTGCCTCGTTCTGGGTAGGGGATAGAATCTGGCCTTGAAGCATCAGCACCTTTGAACCAAGTTTTTTTTTATACATGTTGCATCACAAAGTTTTAATGGCTTCTACAAATTTAGTGGTCCATACCTCTTCGCTTATGATGGGAATATATCAGTTTTAATTTGTTTTCTGGGTGGCTGAAAATGCCCATGGAAACTGTCGGGGGCTTTACTCCATTTTTTATATTTAGCCACTAATTAGGCTCTTTTTTTACATCCTATACAATCATTAGTATGTTACAGTCATTCAATTGGTGTTAATTCTTCGGTATTCTAAAAGAGCTTAGACTTAAGAGTTTAATGACTTTAAACCCTTCTATCTTGAGGTTATCTTGAGATGATTTCGGGGCTTTAGTGTCCCTGCGGCCCGGTCCTCGGCCAGGCCTCCACCCCCAGGAAGCAGCCCGTGACAGCTGACTAACACCCAGGTACCTATTTTACTGCTAGGTAACAGGGGCATAGGGTGAAAGAAACTCTGCCCATTGTTTCTCTCCGGCGCCCGGGATCGAACCCGGGACCACAGGATCACAAGTCCAGCGTGCTGTCCGCTCGACCGACCGGCTCCCTAGAGATTTCATTAAAGATTTCATACATTTCTTAGTCGCTTTCTATCAGTACTCTACCCCTCTCTCTCAGTCTTAACAGTCAAGCATGCAAGGAAAACTGTTGTGAAGCAATTTAGGTTATCTTTGGGCGCTATATCATCATATTTTTTGTTTTTCTTCTCTAGTACTGTATATCATTTTCTCACATCTCTGCAGTTATTTAAAATGTTTTTCTATCATGTTTTGTATTTCTCTCAAGCTCACTTTCTTTTCCTTTTTGATTTATGGAACTGTCGGCTGACCCGAGGATTGTTGTAGTCCCTGTTCGTGTCTCAATAGCCGAGATGTACCGACGCTAGACATCCATGTACTTCAGTACTAGAAAATCCATTATGCCCAGTAATGTCCTCAAACTGACTACATATCTGTCTCTACCTGTGTGTGTGTGTGTGTGTGTGTGTGTGTGTGTGTGTGTGTGTGTGTGTGTGTGTTAAACAGTAATTCGTGCATGATTTTGTATAAACAAGTGTATGAACTATTTTCACAATAAAGGCTAGTGGGCAAGTGCAAAATCTTTCAAAACATTGCTGTCTTTAGCGATCTTTACACCCTCGTAAGTTGAAACTATTTACTAACTTAAATAATCAAGATTTATACACAGAAAGAAAGACAACACTTTCCTCAAATAAACAGTAAGAAATAACATATATATATATATATATATATATATATATATATATATATATAACATGGAAGAAATTATGCTGGATTTCAGGGACAGGCATGTAAAACAAATAGAACACAAACCGGAAAAAAATTATAAAGCCAAAGTAAGAAATTAAAAAAAACTCTGAATTAAAATTCCATTGCATAAATGTCAGTAATTTAAGAGCAGATACACAAGCATTGTTTCTACATTCAGTAACTGTGGCTAGAGGCGCGAAGGGAAACTGAGCCATGCAGCTGGACATACCCCAGGGCGCGGTAGGGACATGTACACCTGTTTCTCTGCTGGCTTGTTTTCCGCTGTGATCTGGTCCCCAATGTCCTTGGTCAGGCTCTTGACGTCGCCCACCAAATTTAGCCACATGTCGGCAAATACTGAATCATGGCAAGAGCAGAGAGAAAAATAAGGTATAATAACTTTAGAAAAAAGCTAACTATATAAGCAGATAATTGAGAAACCCCCAACTTTTTTTTAATTTTTTTTAAGGGTATTCACTTCAAGCATGATGCAGGATGAACGCAAGAGGCAAAGAGGGCAAAGCCTTCTGGCTTGACATGAGCAATTTAAAATATTCATGAACATCTGTCATGTCTTAAGAGGACAGGTTTGGCTGAATCAGGAAAACAAATTTACAATCAAATTAATAATTCATCACCGAGATGGTGGTGGTGGTGGTGGTATCTCCAGAGTGGACAAGTGACAGACTTTACCACACTCTGGGCCTTTGGAAGTAAGCACTTGAGTTATGGTCAATGGTCAATGCTCATGCTTGAAGGAAGGAAGATTCACCTACCTACAATATCCTTACTTACCCTCAACATTTTCTTTGGCTATCTTTGAAGTAGGATATAAGCATAGGGTCTGAGCTGCAGTTACAACCTGAGGGCCATAGATCCGAAGATTGATCTCTCCATATTTTGCAGCCACTTGAAGGGAATCTGTCGTAGCTATGTGTCGTAACAATTTACACACCTGTAAAAAATAGAAATGTAAATAAAAACACACTTATTATCAGCTGGAAACATAAGCAAGCTCAGGTTATATTTCTGTAGCAGAGGGAACCGATATCAAACATATATAATGGTTCTCATTAAAATGTTGAACTCGACAAGTTATCCTTAACCCACAGGCTGCTGTATGTCAAAATAAAATAGAGTGTGTTTGTGTGTGTGTAAGTTTGGGTAGATTTATTTTAAAGTTTCTCATGCTGCAGATGAATAATGGACCTTCGAGGAATATAGTAGCGTTATGTGAGCTAAATATGAATTGTGGTTTACATGTGACTTAGAATTTCAAGAAAACACTGCCTCCTCTATTTCTTAAAGAATACTTTCCCTCAATCCTTGCTGCCTGTTTATTACATTTGCATTTTTTATACAACTTATTCTCAACACAACCATCATCCAGCTTGTTCAGAAAAAGCATCCTTTGGCAGACTCATCATTCAGGGCAATCATCATCCACTCCCCATACCATTCAGGACCATCCTCCTTTAACAGGAACGTACGAAACCTAATTTCTGTTAGATACAAACTAACTGCTCTCAATTTAAACTAGGTAAGTTTGGTGCCTCGCATAGCGAAAGCTCAGTTTTGGAGTAGTGAGACCCATCATATCAAATGGACTAGTCTACTATTACTTTATTCAAACTGGAGGCGTAGAGATAAATGCTGGTGCTGGAATGCTGCTTCGACCTCAGGGGATAGTAGCATTATCAATAAGAAGGAAGAAACTGGTCGATTCTTATAGCCCAGAGATGCAACAATATTGTCCCCCCCTTCCCTCCCTTCCTTCCTTCCTTGTAAGTATATATGCATACATCTCTCTCACTCACACCTACACATCTTTAACTGTCCATGCAAGACAGACGGAAATATATATATGTTTGTTAACATTGTATAAAGGAATGACCATGTCTGTGGTAGAAACTAAACTAAATTAAACACACACACACACACACACACACACACACACAGAAGAGTTAGGGGGACATGATCACCACATTCAAGATTCTGAAGGGGATTGATAGGGTAGATAAAGACAGTCTATTTAACACAAGGGGAACACGCACAAGGGGACACAGGTGGAAACTGAGTGCCCAAATGAGCCACAGAGATATTAGAAAGAACTTTTTTAGTGTCAGAGTGGTTGACAAATGGAATGCATTAGGGGGTGATGTGGTGGAGGCTCACTCCATACACAGTTTCAAGTGTAGATATGACAGAGCCCGATAGGCTCAGGAATCTGTACACCTGTTGATTGACGGTTGAGAGGCGGGACCAAAGAGCCAGAGCTCAACCCCCGCAAACACAACTAGGTGAGTACACACACACACACACAGGGGGCCTCGTAGCCTGGTGGATAGCGCGCAGGATTCGTAATTCTGTGGCGCGGGTTCGATTCCCGCACGAGGCAGAAACAAATGGGCAAAGTTTCTTTCACCCTGAATGCCCGTTACCTAGCAGTAAATAGGTACCTGGGAGTTAGTCAGCTGTCACGAGCTGCTTCCTGGGGTGTGTGTGTGTGTGTGTGTGTGTGTGTGGTGTGGAAAAAAAAAGTAGTTAGTAAACAGTTGATTGACAGTTGAGAGGCGGGCCGAAAGAGCAAAGCTCAACCCCCGTAAAAACACAACTAGTAAACACACACACACACACACACACTAACACACACACACACACTAACACACACACACACACACACACACACACTAACACACACACTAACACACACACACACACACACACACACACTAACACACACACACACACTAACACACACACACACACACACTAACACTCTCCAGACCTCCACCTTACCTCCTGAATGTGCTCTATGTGTTCCAAGAAGCGGTCGGCGTATTCGTCTAGTCTCTCCTGATCAGTAGCCAGGCCAGCGTTCTTAAGGGCGCTGATAAGCTCGCTCTCAGCGCACGCCCCGCGCACAAGCTCCTCTGCCTGTGATAAGGAGGAGAGGCGTCTTAGCTTTGTGAGAGAGAGAGGCAGAAACAGTTTAAAATTTTGTATCATGTTCCATAAGCGATGAACAATATGTAGTTTCCTGACTGCCACATGGATGAAGGGTTCCGTGAAGCTGTCAAGTGTTCCTCGTATTTATCTGGTACATACTTTCGCATTCTTGTGGCTGGTTCTTGTTCCTTCCTTGAGCTGCAGACCAGGGACCAGATTCACGAAAGCACTTACGCAAGCTCTTACGAACGTGTGCATCTTTCCTCAATCTTTTGACGGCTTTGGTTACATTTATTAAACAGTTTACAAGCATGAAAACTTCCCATTCAACTGTTGTTATTGTTATAAACAGCCTCCTGGTGCTTCGGAGCTCATTAACTGTTTAATAATTGTAAACAAAGCCGCCAAAGATTGAGATAAGATGTACAGGTTCGTAAGTGCTTTCCTGAATCTGGCCCCTACTTATTACAGACTTCTCCGGACTCAGTCATGGAAGAACAAAAAATGCGTCCCTTGTTGTTGCATTAGAATCAGCTACTGGGAACAAAAGTCCCAAGTAGCACGGGCTATGATGAGAGCCCGTAACCCCTCCCCCCAAACTGCGTCCCCTAATTAGTATTCAATCGATAAACACACACACTCAGAACCTTATTAAATGGGTTTAGCTTTTACAGTTATATCCATAAACTGCGTATTCCCTTCATATAAATTGTAGAATTATTCCCTTCACATAAACCGGAATTATCAAGGGAAAGCGCCAAGCCATTACGACTATATAGCACTGGGAAGGGGTCAGGATAAGGATTTGGGATGGGACGGGGGGAAAGGAATGGTGCCCCAATCACTAGGGGGGGGGGGGAAGGGTCCTTTTTAACCTCCGTGGGAGAGGTAGGAGCGCTTGCATCATCAAGTGACCTGGTTATACCTTCGCAGATCACCAATATTCTATTTCTGGAGCACACTATTGCGGTCAACTACAGATGTTCCGATTCAGTCAAGACTTCAATAGAGAATTCAACAAATTCAGCACCATCAAAATATTTTAAGTTCTGCTACTCAAGGATATGTTCTTTTTTGTCTACGTATTCCCAATACCAACTGATTATAATGCCTCACGCAAGGCATGCCTTGTGAGGGGATGGGGGAGGGAATAAGCCATGGGTGTTGCATGTGGGATGACCGAGGTAGGGTACAGCTAGGAGGAAACACCTACCTGCACAAGAGCCGTTGTCTGAAGCTGGTGTTTCATGTCTGTCGTGGCGCCCAGAACAGTGTTGATGGCCGTCTCCAACTCGTCCCCAGGTGAGGGCGGCTCCTTCTGCTCCTGACATCACGCAATAACATTTATTAATGTTGTGTGTGTGTTAAATGTTGATAAGACAATTATACAACTTCCTGGGATTTGCATACACTTGAACCAAACATTTCCTCCTGTTGGCAATACAACATAACATTCTAGCACACAACTGCTTCCAATTTGTCTCTAAATACAAAATATAACTGAAATCATGGAAGGAGTTTAATTTATTATATCAAATAGTATTCAAAGCTTACAGCCCTTAAAGCTTGGTACATTGCGGTCAAATATCTATTTTCGATCATAAACTTTTTGCAACACAGGTTACGAACCTCTAATACGATTTGATAATTTTCGTTTACCGGAATTTTCACTCTGCAAATTTTCACATCTTCCAGAATTTCATTCAGAAGAAGTTAATTTTTTGGGGTAGCTAATTATTTTGTGAATGGTAAGAACTTTTTCTTTACATCTGTAAATCAAAACTAAAAGCAATTGCCCAACAGAGAATCAAACTTAAGCAAACTTGAAAGGAGTAAACAAATAAATATTCAAAAATTAAATGAGTAGTGAAAGGAAGTGAACTGATATATGGAATTAAAAAAAAAATAAGTAAAGCAAACGGAATAAACTAAAAGGTTCTGTAAAATAGGAATCCTGTGTAGCCCACAAGAATAAATTAAGTGATCATGTCAAGGAACTTTACATAATAAAAGGTGTCCTGTATCTGCATTATACAAAGACTAAGCTATTTTTCAATCTCTTTCTGTAATTTATGCCATCTTTACCCACATCAGCTGGTGTGTGTCCCTTTTATATTATTGGAAGTCTAAAGGGCAAAACAAAAGTGAGAATATCAAAAAGTAACCTAAATAGTTTAGGCAACCGAAAGAAAAGTTCCTGAATAAGGTATATTAATGGTGTGTCTTTAATTTTCTTTTTCTGTGGAAGTTCCTTCGGCTCCCTGAAGTTATCCAAACTGACATGTGCCTTATTAGTGAGGCGTCATCAGTCCCTGGATTTGTGTGCTTACCGGAGACTAGCGCCAGAGCCTGGTCTACTCAAGAGGCGCAGGGAGCAATGACTACATGAGCACTCATATGCAGTCGGCGCAGCCTGCATACAGTGGCAGCCGACAAGTCTTTCTGGAGACTCAGATTTGTGTTCTGCTTCAGGGAATTTTTTTTCTTTTCTTTTCTTTAGGCGTGTACACTTACATTTGACAGTGATAGTCTGCCTAGCTTCCCATTAGGCTAGCCTAGGTTGTGTTGGCGATCCTCCTCTGTTGCCCCGAGGTTTCACAGCGACCTCCGGTTGTCGGTTTGCATGCAAAAACAGGGGGTTACCAGCTTACCTGGCTCCAGTGCCTGGGCTTCCCGGAGGGTTAACGTACCCTACGGGCCCTGAAAAACCCAAGGATGGGATACCTTGGGGTATCAAGGGTGTATACTCAGAGACTTACCCGCCTCCCGGGTAAGTCTCCTTTTAAATTTATCTGTGGGTAATTAGCTTCAGGGAGCCAACGGGGCTCCCCACAGATTATCAGCGTTGAATGTAACCCATTCTCTGGGCGAGCCACGGAGGCTCCCTGACACCCTCCGGTCGGCGGTTGCCATCATTCTACAAACTGAGGGGTGGACCGGCTGGCTCCCCTGTGGGTCTCCCCTGAAGGGCTTCCCTGAGAGGCTTCCCTTCTATCCAGTTGGGGAAAAGGGAGGAAGGGGTCGCTAACGAGCGGGCGCGCTAGTTGGATGACGATTTGTTTCATTTTCTTTTTGGGGGAAATTCTTTGGCTCTGTTAGGACGTAGGTTGCAATTTTAACCAGTTAGAGGTTTGTATTGTTTCGCCTACCTTTCTGGTGGTATCCCCCGGTCGATGGCAGACATGACAAACTCTATATTTAAAGTGCTCATATGGTCATTGCTCCCTGCGCCTCACAGAGTGTCCCAGCTGCTGGCGGTGGTCTCCGCTAGACACACACAACTCCAGGAACTGATGATGCCGAACTAATAAGTCACAGGTCAGTTTGGAAAGCTTCAGGTAGCCTCCGGGGCTCGCCCAGACAATAGCGTTTAATTACATTTAAAGCTGTTCATTTTTATATTAGCGAGTGGTATAAAATGGTATGCAATACAGCCAGATAGATTTATTTTTTGTGAATGTGTATGTGTTCCCGTGATCTTTTTGGTTAGTGTTTTTATGGCTAATATCACTCAAAAAGGGCGTCTATGACTCAAGTCTGGGTCTCCTGTGTTTTTTCCGCACATTTTATATATTATATAAGCACATTTTATATATTATATAATTGATTTATATACGTTTTAAACCGCAGAAAAGTTCAAAGTAAAGAGAACAAGTGGCACTCACCAGATTGACTCCAACCCTTAAGAGCTGGTTAACTTGGAGTCGTATCCTGTCTGTGAGGAGGAGAATATTTTCTCTGTGCTCGTGTGTGGTGTAGGCAGAGTCCGTGAAGTCTTGCATTCGTTCACAGATTGTGTCCACCGCCTGAACTCCAAGTCCATAATGGAGAACACATGGAAAAAAAAAAAAAGATGGAGTTAGAGAAAATGAAGTTTGCATTTTAAGATGAAAAGGAAACGAAAGGAGACGCAAGGTATGGAAAAGGTAGAACATGGCAAGTTAAGATAATTATCAGGAGACCGTGCTATCCCAATACGACTACATAGCCCTTATAAGGGATATGAAGACCAGGGTCTGAGATAGGACAGAGGGGGAATGAATGGTTCCCTAAGATGGTTAGATAGCTTATTATAGCTATTTCAAGGTATGTCTGAAGATAGACCAGACAGGGCTTACCCACACATAAAAGAGGGACATGTATGAAAAACAAACTTCCCACTCTTTCCGGCCAGTCTAAAATCGGGTTATATATACCAACAAAAAACAAATCTATACCACAAAGGCTCTAAGCCTATACAGATGGTCGAGGATTTGCGAGTAAAATAGGAACTAAACAAAATATCATCCAAATTAGTGATGCTTTGTGTACCAAATTACACACCATTCATTTGACAAAAAATGTGGCAGGGATTTATATTATATATTTATAACAGGCGTCCCGACAGGTCCCGCTACATTCACTATAGTCCCACACGTTAGTCCGGCTGGAGCGGGGAGGGATACATACGTTACAAAATGCAATTTAAATAATATAACAAATTAAATTTGTAAAGCAAAAGCCCTAACAGCACATACGAGCAATGTGACAATTCAGCGAGATCGTATGGCCATGCATAGCGTGCTTTCCAAGTCATCAATTAACTTGCTTTTCAATTTATTCCACAAGCTGGGTTCGTGGGCTGGTCCGACACGCTGGTTAAACCTTAGCTTTTCTTACCTTATAACTTATTTTCCTAAGTTTTAAAGTGTGCTTTACAGCTTGGTTAATATCATGATCTAAAATTTCGTTAAAGCTTACTTGACAGCTTGCTTTATAGCTTGCTTTATAGCTTGTCTTTGTTTATGACTACAAAATAGTCAACAGCTTACTTTCCAACTTGGTTAAAGCTTCCTTTGTAATATTCTTCACAACTTTTTTTGTCAGAAGGTCTAAAGCTTACTTTACAACGTACACAACCTGGTATACAACTTGCTCTACACCTTTTATAAATTTTATTGATAACTTGCTTTACAACGCGGTTAAAACATACTTATCAACTTAATTGTTAATGTTTCCTTTGCACGTTATAAAAGTGAGGCATAACACTGATAAGGCGATATGTGGTGTCCACGTTAAAGCTTCGTCTGAACAATGTAAACCTCAGTAAATATATATATATATATATCAGTGATAAATAAATGTGTTGTAGGATGAGAGACGATATACAAGCACCACATCTATTTTAAAACTTAATTAATCAATATTTTATGTAATTGCGTTAACATATAGGTGGCGCGCTGAGAGGAGTAGCAGGAGCTCTGGGAGGAGCAGGAGCGCTGGGAGGAGGAGTAGTAGTGCTGGGAGTTTGCGAGACACGGAGATGAAAACTAGCCAGGAAGCACAGGGAGGCGAGGTGGTGTGTTGTGCAGGTAAGGTGGCGAACACAGTACCTGACAAAGACGGTCCCTGACAGCTGGTCCACACAGCGTCATCCTCGTCATCTCCACGGAGTCTTCAAGGTAACGGATGGCACCGTACATGGTGTGGTTGTTGTCCCAGTCCTCCTGGAACACAGTGCACAGTAACACACCACCACTGTGGTCCTGCACTACACACACGCATACATACGCACACATACATACACATACAGTTCTCCGACAGCTCAGATACCAAGCATGAGGCTCTAGATGGCGAGGGGGCCATGGTACCCTGTATCATGCTAGATACATTCTTTAGCAACCAGAAGATGCTATAGGTACATTCTTATTTTTTAAACCAATCAACTCTTCTCATAACTATAAAAATTATATTCTGTATTTTTTGTAGACTTGGATGTCTTAAGTTGCTAATACGTAAAGACATTATCAATAAAACAAAACTTAAGCTATTTCAGTAATAATTACTAGAATTGTGTACAACTTTGTATAAGTAATATTTTTTTTATTATTAAAATGTTGTCTCTAAAAGAATTCCAGAAGTAAAATACACTTACTATATAATTATGTTAGATAAATATTAACGTAAACGAGAATACCAGCTTGTAGGAAAATATATCAACCGGTATGCAGCCTGTCCTCATAAGGTTTGCCATCGTCAAGAAAACGATCTATTTAAAGTGTCCTCCGCTAACCTACCAGAGGACCCAAAACAGAAAACGGGACAGTACGTCACTTTCGCGCCACCCGTTTTCGCACTTTCGTATAGTCAATATTGACTTATTAAATACGTGCATATGTGACATACTAATTGTGAATATTTTAGTTTACCTTGAAAAGCTTCATAGAAAACACCGACCTTACCTAACCTTCTTAGTATGTTAAGATAAGCATCTTATTGCTTCGTAATTACAATTATTACTTAACCTATTATAGGTATAGGTTAACTAAAAATACTAGGTAAACTAAAATATTCACAATAAATTAGTATGTCACATATGCACTTATTTAATAAGTCAATATTGACTAAGAAAGTGCGAGAACGGATTGTTTCGCGAGCCGTTTCCATTTTCAAGTACGACAAGTTTTGGCCTTATGTAACGCATACGAGCGAAAACCGACGTTCTATGTAAGAGGACAGGTTGACCGGAACGGCACCAACCAGCAGGAGTAATTGTTGATTGTAAACCAACGTTTACAATCATCATGATTGTAAATCAACGTTTACAATCATCGTCTTCGACAAGAAACACCAACAACCACTGGAGAAAAAAGGTGCAGTGGTGTAAAAGTCCACGATACTCTTAAAACATACCTGTCTCGCCCTGAGGGTGCCTGGGGACTCCGCCGGACTCTGACCGTTGACTCTAGACTCGCCTTGCGCGTTGACCGAATCCAAAACGCCGTCCTTGACCACGTAATGTATAAGGTCCATGGCTCGTCGCATCTGGCAGAACACAGTATCCCTGTTCTCTCTGGAGGTGAGGCACTCGGGGTGACGCAGGCACACCTAAAAATGACGCAAGAACGGGGGTTACTACAGTGTCGTAGACTAATATAGTCACTATTTGTAGGAAATACGAGGTTAACAACAATCTATTATATCTCAATCTAGCCAGGGTAGGTTGATTCTCCCCCGAATCAACCTACCCTGGCTTTGCGCCCTGGAGAGGCCACTCCAGACCAGGCCGACACCAGAGCGCAACTCCATAGTCTCCTGAGACTGATGGATGCCCACTACTACTACGCCTACTACTATCAAGGTACGGTATTGCGACGGTGTGAGATTACTACACTGTTAGATAATGTCTCCAACATATGGGTGAAAATTAAACACCCAACCCACACATCTGAATGAAAATAACGAAGTGAATTCCGGCCCATTTTGGACCCACACCACTTGATACGGGTCCAGAACGGACCCAAACGTTGCTATCTTTATTTTCACTCGTGTGAGTTGGGTGTCTTAGCTGCATACTGTTGCACTGAGGCTAAATCCTTTCAATTTTAAAAGCAGTTATAATAAAAACAAAACAAAATATGAAATGGGGACTGATAAAGACCCTGTACAAACTAAGGGACACCCAACCCATACATTATAAATAACAGAAGTGGTGGCGTTTCAGTTCGTCCTGAACCACATCAACTCGTATGGGTCATATGGGACGGATCGAAACGTCGTCATTTATTACCAGATGTGTGGGCTAGATATCTAATTACCAGCCACGTTATTGTGACATTATAAAGAACGTTGGATAATCTTGGGGGTAAACAGTGGTATCTTACCGAGTGGGTAGAAAGGTCACCATTACATACTATATCACTAATAAAACATTTTGGGAACCAAAGGAAAAAAAAGAAGGCTGGGAATTGTGAATGGCCATATAGTCTTTGATTTTGTATTTTTGGAACACACAAAAGTTGAAATTTATGTACACGAGAGGTAAACTTACTAGAGATTAAACACAAGAGAGGCAAGTATACCCGGGAGGTGTGTTAAACACTTAAGAACACGAGAGTGAATAAAGTAATTACAAAGCTCCAGATACTTTATGCCAGGGGGGGGGGGTCAGAATGGTCTAATAACTGGGCATTAAGTGATGTAGTGAGCAAGCTCATGACCCAGTTCCTGCTCGCAGAGTTTGCACCTGGAGTGTTCAGGATTGGAGGATCCGTTACCTGTAGCCACCTGCCACAGGTAACGGTAGCCACCTGCCACAGGTAACGGTAGCCACCTGCCACAGGTAACGGTAACCCAACCTGATCCTGGCAACCACTGTGTCGCACAGTCTGGTCCACGTTTTGTGCTGCCCATAAACATAGGTTTCAGGTCTTTCCCAGAGAGAGGGAAAGTATACATACATATGGAGAGTTAGGGAGGAATGTAGCAGGATGGATAAGGAGAAAGAGAATGCAATAAGAGAGGCGCAACGTAGGTAATCAGGAAGGAATAAGGAAAGGAGCGATTGATACCATACCTTGGAAGGTGAAGGGACGACGACGTTCCGGTCCGTCCTGGACCATTCTCAAGTCGATTGTAAGTCGACTTGAGAATGGTCCAGGACGGACCGAAACGTCGTCGTCCCTTCACCTTCTAGTGTGTGAGGTCTGGTCAACACCATACCTTGGAAGCTGTGAGGAGCATCATGGTAGATCTGTCAAGTACTTGTCGCGCAGCCGCCATCTGCGCCCGTCTACGCTCGTCCTTCATGTCGGCTGCGCGGTCGCCGGTGAGATGCGCCAACTCCACCATCTCCGCTCCGAAGTGACTAAATGCCTTGACGAACTCCGTGAAGTTGGTTACACTCTCCAGCCTCGACAAGCTGTGGGTCACCTGTTGAGAGAGAGAGAGAGAGAGAGCGGGTCAGGTCAGTCTCGCTGGGCATGGCTAGGGGAGGGATTGGTCTGGTGTGGTGGGGGGGGGGGGGGCAGGGGCATGGTCAGTGAGGTGTGGTAGCTAGGGCACGGGGCGCGGTATTGACCCATCTGGTGGGTACGACATCATGCTATCCACCAGTAACCAAAGCGTTTCGAACGTAACTAAAAATAATTGTTAGGTACATTTGCATTAATGTAGCAGCCCTAGACTATAAGAAAGGCTACACAGTTTCGGTCAAGAGCGAGCTATAAGATAAAAGAAAAATCATCTTGCAGAACGGATGCACTATGTTTAGTGCGCTATCGCTGTAAACCCGCTCGTCCAACTTTCAAGAGGCATATATGCCCCTATATAAACATATCAGATGACTTGAGGAAACTTGATTCAAATCGGAATGACACAGGATGTATACTTGCCATGATATTCTTGTAAAGGCGACTCGGGGAGGAAGTGGGGGGTATAATGTAACATTTACGGTTTTAAATATGGCTATCAGTTCTGTTATCACTCCGGGCAAAGTTTTTACACAACACGAGGGGCAGGTCCAATGATCCCGGAGGTAGGCGTGCGACCCGATTGACCAAGTTTTGTACAAATGTGCCAATCCCAGTGTGACCGGAGGTTACGTGACTTCCAAAGGGGAGCTACGAAGCAACTCATTTGCCTTACGATCACCCGTGTTAACCCTCTTCCCGGGGAGGAGGGAAGGCGGGGGGATTTTCCCCCCGTTGTCCGCCCCCCCGGACCCGTCTCCAGGTGCTGGGGTGTGTGTTGATTCCCTGCCGTCTGCTGCAACGGTGTTGGATCCTGCGGCTCGCCCGGGTGATTCGGGCGAGCCGAATGTGGGTGTTGACGGGGGGTGTTGACGGGGGGGTTGACAGAACAACTCTCGAAACAAACTACAGGAAAACTATACAGATGAGAGAAAAATACTCGAGAAAAAAAGACAAAGTGGGGGAAAAAGTTTAGCTTTCTCAATAAACATTTTGTATTTATATATACAAAGAGTTCTTACATTTTTGTAAAGCCACTGACACGCATAGAGCTTCGGGCAGGTCCTTAATCTAACACGTCAGGAATGGTTCCTTTATTGCCAGCAATCTGCTCCTTCTCTTGATTTAATAATACTTAATAAATAATATTTAATAAATACTTTATAATAATACTTATATAATATATATAATTCTTATATAATACTTATAATACTTTAATAAATAATAATAATTTGATCTAATAAAACACTACAATTCTTCGAGGTGATGTTTGCTTTGGTGTGCTCACTGAACGTTATATCCACGACCCGTACATGTCGTTGCCGTTCTATGGGGCGATCGTGTTGAATATTATCTATCTATCTTCTTCTTCTTGAGGTTATCTTGAGATGATTTCGTGGCTTAGTGTCCCCGCGGCCCGGTCCTCGACCAGGCCTCCACCCCCCCAGGAAGCTGCCCGTGACAGCTGACTAACTCCCAGATACCTATTTTACTGCTAGGTAACAGGGCATAGGGTGAAAGAAACTCTGCCCATTGTTTCTCGCCGGCGCCCGGGATCGATACCGGGACCACAGAATCACGCGTCCAGTGTTCTGTCCGCTCAGCCACCGGCTCCCTTAAGTTTCAGTTCCTTCTTCATATTTATGTTATTCGTAACATGTGTACGAATCATCGGCTAGATGAAAGAATAAATTTGGACTTGAGAGCCCCTTGAAGGACCTGAAATAAAAAGGTAGAAACAGCCTAAGCTTCCCTATCATTTTAGGAATGCAAATTATGTCGATAAACGTACTTGAACTTGAGAGAATAACCTGTTTCTTTAATTTAGATACCAGCCAGTTATTAGCCGGGGTTGGTACACTGTGGTCACTCACTCCTTCAGTTCAGTTCTTCTAAAAAAATTATCTATTAATTTTTCTTATAAGGTTATGTTACACTGGTGATATAGTGTTTCACTGAATATATTATAGTCTGGTAATTCTCGATTTAAAAAATCGCTGGGAAATCCTTAAAAGCTGTTAAGGTAACACGAAGCCAGTATTTATTACCATTACATCTTGAGAGTGGAAACACCGTTCCGAGATCACTCACATTTGACGGCTAAATGTAAATTGAAATACATAAATAATTTGTGAGTGAGTGAGAGAGTGAGAGAGAGAGAGAATAAGAAAGAGAAAGAAAGAGAAACAGACATGCATATCTCACATCTCTGCGCAAAAAAATACAAGGGTACTGATTTCCAATAAGATACCGTGGGACTGCCATCCCTAAGTCCGTGATGCATTCACGGCTTCCCCCCCCCAGGCTGCCACGCCCCCTTCCCCCCAGGATGGCAAGACCCCCCCCCCTTCCTCAACCCTTCCACGCCCCCCTCCTCAACCTTATACTGCCACGGACACCTCCTCCAAGGCCGCCACGGCCTACATCGACACGGTTTACTCTTCCTTTCTAGCCTCAGTTGATCATATCCAACGAGGACCGACCAGCGCCATGCTGCCTGTCATTATTTTTATCCTCATAATTTTCAGCAGTCATTGGACATTTAATCATTGCTCACATCATGATTAAAAACATTGTAATTTACATTATCACCCCAAACAATATGCTTCCAACAATGTGATCAGGAACACGACGATTTGCGACACTTGTATCCCTGTAATTATCATATTAACCACAATTATCCCCCGTAAGATTCATCATATTTGACTAAGTTATCATTAGATATTTTTCCAAAACTGTAATTAATTTCTTGTATGATCACAAGATGCGTTGTCATTTTCAACTGGCCTGCCAGATTCACCATTACTTTCAGTACCAGTCACCATTTTTGTTAGAATAATCATTATTTCCTACAAGATTATCACTGTTTCCATAATTTTCTCCAAATTCATCATTTCTAAAATGATTAGATTCATCATTTCCAGCACACTCATCAGATCCGCCATTACGTGCCTTTTTCTGACGTAGATATTCGAAGTATTATCGTTTCTTACGGCTAATGTATTGTATAAACTTTAAAAGTGTTTTCATGATGTTACGAATCTACTCATATTGTGTGTTTAATTGTAAATGTAGTTTAGGAACCCATTTTCTGTGAGGCACAAACTCATTTCTGCAATGAAAAATACATTTTGTGATTGCCAACCCTTTTTCTGAGGCAAATAATCCATTTCCTCGATGAAGAAATCGTTTTCTGTAAGCAACAACTGATTTTCTGTGAAGCATAAACCGGGTTTCTATGATAAAGAACAGTTTTCTGAAAGGCTACTAGTTTTTTTTTTCCAGGTAGAACTATTGTCACATTCTCACACGCTGTAATGAACGAGTGTTTTGTATACTGTGTGTTGCGTCTAACATATGCGGTATGTATACAATACATACAATACAATACCCTGTATTACTATTGCGACAGTCGTCCAGTATTTAACATATTTATCATAGTTTAACCAGAAACGTACGAAGCCAAGCAAACCCACTTCAACTATCGAGGCCAATGCATAGAGAATGTGAAAATTGCGATGCTTTAATACTTACAAACAAATTGCATAATTGGTAGATTGAGAAATGACTTTGATCCAGGACCTAACCACTTAAGCAATTGAGATTTATGCTCATTGGTCTTGACAAAGCGTGCAGTTATAACGCTTTTGTGTCTAGTAAATCATTTAAATTACACTCTTGTATTGCGAGAATACAAATATATATGTACCTGTCGGAAAACCCGAGACCATTTTCTAATATTCAATACAATATGCAGATAATATTGCTGCTGTTGTATATATAAATTCACCCATAGAAAATATAGCACAGTGGAAATTTCCGCCAATAGAAAATGGGATATCATTGCCATATAGCGCTATAAATCCACCAGCTAATCTGTTGGGAATTACTCTTAATACAACAGTCTTTGAACTTTTATCATAAAAACATCTCGCTTGAATTAACTTAATTATTAATACCAAAATAGAGTAAACGTGACCTATCTGCCACATATTTACATCTGGATAAAGAGCCAGGACATCAGTGGTGGTGAGAGGTCAGCCATTATTGCTAGACCAGAGTCGCTGGAGCCAATTTATCTCCTATAATTTCCCTTGGACAGCTGTGCCACAAGAGTAAAGTGCTTCTATAATCGACACGCAATTACGTTTACTATAAAGGAAGTGTATTACCTAAACCCGTTATTACTACATACATTTCTGGCCAGTTAATGTTAGGTAGATATAAGGCAAATTTAGCACGAGAGAAAGCAAGAATTAATCTTGGTACACCAGTGCAGAGCTAACCTAAACCACGAGGATTATTTGGTATCATCCTTGTTTATACCTAGTGGACTAGGCCTATTATACAATAAGACCTCTCAATTTTCATTACTAATGTATGTAGTTTAATATTGAAGTTTGATTGGCTGCATTTATATAAATTTAATATAAACCTTCCCTAATGTGTAAGGAGTCGTTTTGTGAGAATATCGTAGAAATAAAGTCCGCTCAAATCTCATACAAATTGCTATCGAAATATATAAATGCAAATATAAACACCATATAAATTCATATAAATTGAATAAATATAAATCTCACAGGTCGGTTCCCCACAGTACAAATACGAGGACTTAAAATACTTTATACAGGCCATTTGGGAATACAGAGAACGGGCAACGAAGCTCATCTACATAAACAAAATACACACCAAAACAACGGCTGCTTCCTCAACAAACCACACACACACACACACACACACACACACACACACACACACACACACACACACACACACACACACACACACACACACACACACACACACACACACACACACACAAATCCCCCCAAAATGCAAAGAACTAACATAATCCGAACACCTGCAGCAACACCAGAGTGGAGTGAGCTCACCTTCTAAATACTGTCAGTTGTACTGACAGCTGTACTTCCTGAACCTTTGCTACATGGTTACGAGTGCCTG